CAGGGAGAGAGCGTTTTATGTAGAATAATCAACAATTTGAACAACACCAGCACACTCAGACACTCGCTCACTTGTGACTTCCTGCTAGCACAGCTATCGATGGCCCCCAAGTGTTTATATATAAAAGGGAGAGATTATAGTTGTTCTAACGAGCGAAAAATATATTTTAAAGAGAGAAGCTTCAAATGTTTTTGTTTATAATATGGATTTTTAAAAATATATTATACTTTATTTTCTATAAATTTTGCTACACGTGTTTCGGGTCCTGTGTAATTCATAAGACGAAGAAAGGTAATACCACATATTATTTAAAGGAATTAATTTTTTCTTATATTGAGTCTTAACCATTGTCTTTTGTATATATATATATATATATATATATATATATATATATATATATATATGGAGGAATAAATGCATCTTATAGGCCAATACATACGTGTTGCTTTTATAAATTTGCTATTAGTAGCAGGCATGCGTTTATTTAGCTAGATAGCGGTAGCGCCCTGTTTGGTCAAATTCAGTCCCTTGTTGGTGAGACTGGAGTGAGCTCTCTAGGGCGAAGGCCAGGGTGATAATATATGGAAGACCTGCGATGCCCAGATCATATGTCCCCATCCCAGCCGTACCGACAAGATCCAAAGGAATACAATGCATTTGAGGCCAGCTTGACTGCAGTAGTTGCAGGAAAGTTGTCAATGTTGACAGATTTTAGGCCTTTACTCCGATTTTTCTGTCTGAATTTACTTCCTTGTCCGCAAGATATAACCGCAAGGCAGCGCAGATCTAAAATCGGTTTTTTTTTCTTCCATAGATGGACTGTCTTTCTGTGCTATAGAGCTCGATCTACCCGAACAGCTGGTTATGAGGCGACAGTTCTCCGCTTCCTCCGACTTGGAGCTGGACTAATGCCGAGAAAGAATTTTATCGACAGTGGGAGTTTGTCTCCACTATCACCACCGGCTATGACCTTTGTGATATTACTGAGTCCGAATCAATAGACAGGATAAAATCCTTGAGAATTTCTTGCAAAATCACGGCAGATGACCGTCCATTTTTTTTATTTATTTGTCAAATTCTTAAAACTTTTGTTTCTGTCTTTACACTGTATCAATAATTATATGTTAAATATGTAATCAGGTCGGGGTTTAAATTTACATTTTTATGTCTCAGTTTTTGTTTGTAAAACGTAAAAAAATATTTTTGTGATTTCGGATTTATTTTCAAGAGCTGAAATGACTGGCTTCTTCTGGAAGCCTTAGATCTTCCTTCGAGATAAACGGTTTTAATTATTCTTTTTTATAGCTTTCTATCACTCTTTTCTTTCTTTACGTAAATTTCATGTTCTTTTTCTTTCTTAAAAGAAAAAGGAGAGAGAAAGAAAAAGTGACCGAAGCGAAACTGATGATACGATATCTTTTTAATGATTCAATTGTTGACAAAATTAGAAAGTAAACGAAAAAAAAAAAAGAGAAAGAAAATGGATAAAAGAAAGATAGAGTAATTAAACTGTGTATATTTTAAGAAAAAGATCAGTAACTACTTGAAGTCAAGGTCAGCGATTGTTATCAGCCAAGTGCTGCTATATACACAGATCTGCATATCTGTGGCGCCCAATATGAAATCTGTTGAAAATCTGATGAAGCAGAAACTGCAGTTGCATTAATAGTGATGAATAAGGGTGAAGACAAAAACAGAATAAATGTTCGTAAAAAAGGATGCTGGTTTCTTTAGAATATTTTGTGTCAGTGCATTTAAGTCTTTTAGGAGAAAAAAGAAAGGCATAATATCACAGTAAAGGAAAAAAGCAAGAACAGAAAACAAAACAATACAAGACCCTTTGCTCTCACCCTTTCACTGTCGAAACTGTTAAATATTGCCGTCTCTTCTACTCCAATAGCTTCATGTCTCGCACATCTCACCTGTGGAACTCCCTCCCCTTTTCCTGTTTCCCTGATAGCTATAATCTCCAACTATTCAAATGTAATGTCAATCGACGTCTCCAGATGCCCTGATCTATCCCCTAAACATTTCTTCATCCTTTCCTCTATCACCCCTCTTTGTTCTCGCTCCAACTCTCTGTAACCCCTTGCATGCTAGTGGCTTCCCGCCTTCCTTAGGGTGAAAAGACAAAAAACCCCAAAAAACAAAAACTTACACATTCGTGAGAGTGTGAAGACCAAACAATCAGCCTTGGTATATGCCTGAATGTGCTGATGTTATGACTCACCGTAAAAGTTACTAATATTTCTATCAACCTGAACGGTGTAGCAAAACACGTCGTTGAAAAATGCTTTCAATAATTGGTAAAAAGATCTGGAGAATGCTAAGGTCACCTATACACGGTAAGTCAGATTTGAAAAAGATAGACTTGGTTTGTCTGAGTTCTAGGAAAACCCTCACAAGTTTCTAAATCGGTCATGGCCAAACTGCGGTCCGCAGGCCACATGTGGCCCGTTTGGCTTTCTGAGTGGCACGCCTAATTTCATGTCGAAAATACCCTTTATTAAATTTTTATTCGTTTCTTTCCGTTCTACCTTGTTCACTTAAACAATCTCTCATACCTATCTCTGTATATATATATATATATATATATATATATATATATATATATATATATATCGGTGTAACAACAAAATTGTCCAAATCGTGTAAAAGTAAAATTGTAAATTAATATCAAGATTTGAACCGTTGAATCTTAGAAACGATTAAAGATATCTCACTAGGATTCTCCAAGGTTTTTATAGCACTATTAGACTCTACTTTTGAGCAATAAGAATGCGTATTTACTCTCCAAATTTAACAGAAGAATCGTGATAAAATCGATCTTAAACGAAAATGACATATCATTATTTAAACAGCTAATCATTTCAAGCTCATCAAAGATTGATATATATATATATATATATATATATATATATATATATATATATTATTATATATATATATATATATATATATATATTATTATATATATATTATTCAAGGATCTTTTTTCAACTTATTCGAAATGATCTTCATCCTTTCTAACCTCCTAACCTTTTGTCCTGGAGTAACCACGTACATCATAGGTTTCACGTACGATTTCATTTTCAAGACTTTTCTGATTGCTCTTTGGACAATTATAGCTGAAATTCCACTGTCACGTGCCAAACGTCTTATGGTTTGAGTTGGATCTTTTCTAATTGATCACTTTAGCTCTATGCTGAAATGACTATCCCTTTTCATGCTGTGACCACCTCATCCAGTATTTCTCTCTATTGTTGCCGCTTTTTAAAACTTATTCACCGTTGCCTTGATGATTCTTGAATGGACTTTGAAGATGAAAGCCAGAGTATGAATGTTGCTACCATTGCTGAAGGCTTGATTAATCTTTTTTCTCTCAACATTGCTCATTTGAGAAGACAGTAGGGCTGACACAAAAAATGTTTTACTTGTTCTTTTTCTTGCTGTATAACTCAAAGGGTTTCTCAGTGATTCTTACAACAAATGGTGTCAAGATGGCTAAATGTCTTATCTGAAAACCTGGAAAAAATAAAGTCAGTTAGTTTGGTGTTTTTTATATATTAAACCTTTTGTGCGATGGACAATTATGCTACCCCCGGTATGTATATATATATATATATATATATATATATATATATATATATTATATATGTATATGTGTGTGTATATATATATATATATATATATATATATATATATATATATATATATATATGTATATTGTGTGTGTGTGTATATATATATATATATATCTATATCTATCTATCTATATATATATATATATATATATTATATGTATATTGTGTGTGTGTGTATATATATATATCTATATCTATCTATATATCTATATATCTATATATATATATAAATATATATGAAGAAATATAGTCTTAAGGTGTGCTATATTTATGGGATAAAGTGCTCAATATCAGAGATAGAGCGTGTGTAAATATAAAAGTGAACGTAGAAGTCAACACTTAGAGGCGACAGTCTGTTTCATGCTACATGCAATCGTCAGGCCACGTGTGCTCTTATTTTTCTCGGCTATTTATACATATACGGGTCAGTGGTGCATTGTGGGTAATCTATTATGGCGGTTATTTTACCGGAAGTCGTTTATTTATTTATTTGGGTTAAATTATTTTGCTTGTTTTTATTTAATTTTCTAGCCACAATGCACCACTGTCCCGTATATGTATAAATAGCCGAGAAAAATAACAGCACACGTGGCCTGACGATTGCATATAGCATGAAAGAGACTGTCGCCTATAAGTGTTGACTTCTATGGTCACTTTTATATTTTATCACATTAAACGTTATTATTGGTAGATAATCGTGTTTGAATATTTATATATATTTATACGGATTAAAGAAAAGTTTGCGCTCTTCGGTAAGAATCGAGCCAGCATCTCTCAGGTTAGAACGACCCACCGTTTAGCCCAGTGCGCCTATCCCGTTTTGGCCACGAAGAGACAGAGTCTCAGGCGAGTTTATAGTGATACCAATCTGTCGGATTAGTAAAATCCATTCTAATAAATTTTCTTTATTTACGTTTGACTACGAAACTGCGTGCAGACATGAAATATTTCGAGAGACAATTGACAAGAGACATTTCGCTTGACAGCATCAAATTTGATTTCACCTGACCGGACCGTCTGCTTTTCGTGGCCAAAGCGGTATAAGGTGGGGGAACTCAGGTTCGAATCTTACTGCATGGCGAATATTTTGTTTTAATAAGATCTATGGAATATTCAGAACGGTAGACGAAAATAAATGAATATACGGTTTAATAAATAAACGTAGCATTGAATATCAGCATCAACTAAAGATAACGTCTACGTGAGAAAATCTGTCGGTTTAATCAATAAAAAATCCGTCAAGTTCTTTAGAAATTACATATGCTCTTCCTCAGAAGAGTATATGCAACTGTTGCGCCAAGAATATACATTTACTTTCTTCTCTTACTCGCATACAACAACCCCACTCGGCTTGTCGCTACATCACGTTTAAACCACCGGTTCCCGAAAGATCAGCGAAGTTAAGCAATGTCGAGCCTCGTTAGTACCTAGATGGGTGACCGCTTTGGAATACTAGCTGCTGTAATCTTGTATGTGCGGATGGTGTAATGGATAACGATTCGGAAATGTTAATCAGTGAGCCGAGTTCCAATTCCTGTTGGGTTCGTTATATTCACTTACGCGCAAATACACTTAGGAAAGGTATGAATTCACCTCTTTTCCCCACAGCTATGGGTTAATTAATAAGACTTCTATCACTAAACCATTATTATATCTCCCCTCATCCTCCCAAAATCTAAAAATATTTTCTGGCTTTAAATAACCTGCAAAGTGCTGATAAACTGTAAAAAACGAATCATTCGATTAATCTTCTCCCTATTGCTCAGGACATTGCTCAGTATTCCTTGTCATATAGGAGGACTGATATCACGTAACAGTTCAATACTATTTTTTCTGTTTCTTAATATTTTGCTTAGATTTTAGCAGGCATCTTTCTTTATCCCAATGCGCTTTCGGCGTTGCACTTCACATTTTCTATTAAAACACTTCCCAGATATTTAAATCGTACTTGTTTGATTTAGGTATCCCCAATTTGTAATTTACATGTTGGACTGTTCATTTTTGCTAACAAACATGAATTCTTTCAATTGATGTTTAGTTCTTTCTCCTCGCTTTACTTCACTACTTTCTGTCGGAGTTATTGTAGTTTCCTTTCTGTGTTTGCTATCAATATCAGTGTAATCTGCATATCTTATGTCGTTAAGATTGCCGCTAACAAAAAACGTATAACGATTCAAAATTCCTGAGATGATTAAATTATTTAGATTTGAGATAAAAGTAATTACACACCTTTAATGGAAAATCTAAAAAACTTGATTTTTTTTCTTTCATTTTATCACTTTTTTTTATTACAGTTATATCAACTCTTCTGTACTTCTATCAGACCTGGACATTCTACCGAAGAGACGTCCGCAAATTTAAAAGATTCCATCAAATGAAACAAACAACTAAATTCTCCTCTCCGCAAAAATGGGGAGCCTAGAAATCATCGATGGAGCGGACATCTTGCCCGAATGCCATACAAATCCTCTTCTCGAAGCTCGAATCTGATAAGAGACCATGTGGAATCCCACGTCCTCGATTCAAGGATCAGCTCAAAAACACCTTACTGTGGACAGAAATTGATCCGGTCAATTGGGAGACGAGGACTGCAGAAAGAACCAATTGGAGAAAGGCAGTCCGAAAAAACAACATCCTTTGAAAACACCAACAGACAAATAGAATAAACGAAGAGAGCCCAAACAAAAGCCAGAGCTCTCTATCCACTGAACCCTTCTACCCTACTATGCGGTGGCTGTGGACATCTTTTCAGATCCAACATAGGCCTCATTTTACACAGACGGAAATGACGATGATCACCCAATACTAGGCAATGAGATCTGTAATGATTAAGAGCATGTGATTCATGTTAGAAAATAACATATAGCCAGAGTATAATTTAATGTCAATAAGGAAGATAAAGTGGGTGGTCCCAATATGCAGAGATAACAAAGTAGATTTTACAACCATTGCTACACTAGAGCATCGGAGTAGCCAGATGTGTCAGAGGATTCACCTGAAAGGTAACCTTATAGCTACCAGTGGGAGATACACGCCTCCCAATATGTCAGAGGTTGCCTTCGATATGTAAGCAGTTGGTCAATCTAGCAGCGCGTAACACGTGTACCCATTGGACAAATAGGTGACAGGAAAATATATAATCGTTCCAGCCGAGAAGGGAAAAGACACACAATCGTGAGGAGAAAATCCACGTTCGGAGAAAACCACACACATATTAACTGACGAAAACCAGAGATGAATAAACACTAATTTTACGTATGGAGATTCTGACTGTTGTTTATCTTCACAATAATGACGTTACAGAATTAACGTGAGTCTGTCATGATTGAAATACTTATGCTTTTTCCCTCCAGATTTTAAAATAGTGTAAAAGAATGAAACTCTTTTATTTCTATAAAATGCTGCTCGGAATATCTAAAAAAAAAATTCAATGCCGGTGACTGTCGCCAAAAGTAATAGGTATTCGCAAATCATATGAATGAAATTGCTGGCATTGGCAAAGACTGATATCTAGGCTAGTCTAATTACCTACCATGCTGGGAAAATCTATTGAATAAGCAAGCGTCTGTTTTCTCTTCATAATTACGCTCACACAAAGGGCAAGAACATTCCACTGTGATATTAGATTTCAGTAACACTTAGATCTGGTCTTTGTTGCTGCATATAATTTTATTAGAGTCCCACAGAAGTAATATTTCTATATTATTGTTGAGGAAGGGTGTTTACTTTGGAACAGTTATTGGTTGACGCTTACTTCCGCTTTAATCTGTATAGCTACAGCATTTTATGTTTACTGCCGAACATCCTTCCACAGTAGACTTTGTAGATTGCTGATGAGAATTTAATACTTCGGAGATAAAGAATATATGCAGATTGGTAAATACTCAGCTGTACTAAAGTCTTTGACAATGTTCGGAATTTGACTATTGCAGAAACTTATATTTACTGCATATTGGAACCGAATGCTTGTAAAACGAGGAAACAGATGATGTTGCTATGAACTGTTTTTCATTCTGCTCATATCTATCTATCTATCTATCTATCTATCTATCTCATTCTGTTCATATCTATCTATCTATCTATCTATCTATCTATCTATCTATCTATCTATCTATCTATCTATCTATCTCATTCTGTTCATATCTATCTATCTATCTATCTATCTATCTATCTATCTATCTATCTATCTTAGAATTTAATTTGAGAATCACTACTACAATGGTTTACAAGTTCATGTTCAAACCTTTTTTCTGATTTTTGCCCCGACTTTCACCTATGCTTCCAAAATCGGCTCCCAAAACCTTGATACTTATCACAGATAAGAATATGTTTTTTGACGAACGAGAGAGCTGGAAAATATAAAAAGGAATTTGGCCACTCTTGGCCTGACAAAGGTGCCATAAATTCGGACTTGTCGGACCCTTGCTTCCACAAAAACAGCTCCCAAACCTTTGATTCTTATCAGAGATATGAAACATTTTCTGAACCTTCTAATTTCGATAAATACGGAGAATATGCACATCTTTGGCAATGAGTATTGGACATCGTCTGTGATAACATCAGGTCGGTGACAGTAACACCAGTCATCAACAAAACTTGTTTCAAAGAAGAAATCTACATGCTGGGCTCTAAAGACAGAACGCCGGTTCGCTACTAAAAACTAATCGTGATCTGCTTCCTTGGACCATGAAATTCTTTTTGTCGGTCTACGAACATACTTAACTACTAAAACTATGTATCTTCCGTTTGTTTCCCCCCTCAACAAGAGCCCTGAAGAAATCTATGTGAGTGTTAAACGCTCCAGAAAAATTTACTTGCTTAAAGAACTTTAGAATTGGTTTGGTTTGGCTTATTTTGGTTTACGGCATATCAACCTCAATGGGTTATTTAATACCGACAACATTTTTATTGCTGGTAGTATTTTGTTTTGTCAAAAATCTGTTTCTGGTAATATTTTCCTTCAAAATTGTATTACTGGTAATAATTTTTTTCAGAAAAGTATTGCTGGTAATAGTTAACTATTTGCCCATAGCTGGGACCCTAACAGGTGCTACCACCCTGGGTCAGGGTGGACCTGGGAACACCAGCAATTAAGAGGTGATTCCACGATCCTCAAAACCTCCTGGTCAGAAGCCTTGCTGCCGGATGTAGTTTATCGTCTAACCCAGGATGCGGATGTATTTTAACGTCTTACCCAAGACGAGAACTTTAGAATTCTGCCACCACTTGATTGTGTTACATTATTATTATTTTCGATTCAGCGAATACTATTGGTCGAAAAATATTTCAATGAATTTTTTATGTAATATTTTCTTTCGACAGCAGTTTTGTGCAAACTAAACACCAAAGTGGATCACAGAAGCCTTGAATAATTCTTCGACTTCTGATTGGCTAATATATGTGAAAAACATTACAACTCCTACGCAGTATTGTTCAAAGTCAATTTACCGCCAAAATCTGGTTTCTGTCTTCGCGAGCCTATCACGTGGTTCACATTACTTATAAATACTTGGACACATTCACTCTTCCTCTTTTTTGTCTTCTCAGACCCACAGCGATGTAAACTCAAAGGGGTCGCGTTTTCTTCCTTAGGGGAAAGCGCTATGAAACGTCATGACACGCAGACACGTACGGACGAACGTCTACGAACATCACACATCTTCAAACATCTGCGAACATTCAATACTTCAACAACAATCACACAGAAAATTATAAACTTCCAACAGTGAGATTTTTCAACTCGGAAGTGTTAAACTAAAAACTTACATTTTTAGTACCAAATACTACTTGATTTTCAAGTGAAACTACAATTTTCTCTTGCTCAACAAGTTTCTTTGAACTCACCTTAAGCAATTCAACTAGCAGTTAAAGGTAAACAACTCCTGCTATATCTAAACATTCAACTATAGAAATTGTAACAAACTGTTTAATTCTCTACAAGTAACAATACATCTTACTAAAGCTCCCCAAACACCTTTTAATACACTTCACAGTTTATCAACAAGAATATTTTCCTCAATCAAAATTCCAAGGACAAGTAAATTTCAGCATTTCAAACAACCGAATTACTGTTTTTACAATTGTTGTTATGCTTATATAAATTCCATTTACTTATGCAACTTTTCTTTTTGAATGCTATTCTTGTTTGCTTATTTCTTGTTAGTACATTTGTAAAGTAAAATAGTACGGCTTGAATCGGGGCAATTCAACTCGCTACAGAACTTTTAGGCGCTAAGAAAAATATTTTGAGCAAGCTTTTACAGGAACATTTTTTTTCTTTAAGTTAAAGGAATTTTCTTTTCTTTCTCGATTATTTTTTTTATATTCCTTTACAATTTTTGTGCATGTAAATATACATTTTCTTCTTCTATTGTTACAACGCGAGCAGGAGTTTGAGTCTTTATTCTTTCGTCTAAAAGAGAGAATTGTCCGTTTTAAAAAATTTCAAGCCTTTGTTGCTTATACC